ATTTTTATGACTTATAATGGAATAATCACCTCTGTGTGGCAGAAGGCATTACAACATCTCCGGCTCATATATTAGTCTGTACACGTATTCAACTCTGTAAACATAAACGATACAAATAATAAGATATGGAATATAAACACAATCGTACCGGCGGGTGTAATGGCGGTCACTCAGGTAAACCCCGCGTACGAACACATGCATGTTTTATTTAAAATAATGTAAAATACCGTACAAATAATATCAGATACCGCTCGCGGAAAAATACCGTACGCCGGACAGGTGAAAGTACAAATAGAAAAGATCGACAGGTTAGTTTTTTGAATCGAGAAATCGTGTTTATACCTCACTTACATTCCTTGGCAGTCGTCGTTGTCGTCGCTCTCTCGTCTACCTTGTCAAACAAAGGTATCGCGCGCCAACCCCAATAGCCAGTCAGGTAATAGATATATACTGACGTCACACTACTGACCTCTATACCGGACATACTAATTTAAAACGATTATTATACAACATTACAAATACATTTGATAAAATTCGATCCTGCCACACAACCAATTAAAATGACATTTCTTTCGCGTAATTATCACATTTTACTGTTGAAATAACTTGAGTACAGGTTTCTATCCATATTGCATTCTAACTTGTCACGATAATTTCCTGTTTGTTTCCATGTACATCATCACCCCTGTCTGACCTTATCGGATTTGTATTTGGCCAAGCGTTATAAAGCTGTTTCTTTTATGAATACTGTAAAGATAAGATCCAGGTTTTAAAACTTCATTTTGAATGATATTAAATGGCGATGAACTGGATTCTATATGTATGTAGGGCTCCGAACAAGACAATACACCAAAAGTATAGTTATAGAAAATAAGGAAATAGAACAGTTTATGTTGCACGCAAACAAACCACGGGCTCTTAATCTTAATTGACAAAAGAATACTATTCTCTCAAAATATTCAAATCAACGTGTTAAAGTATAGAGAAGTTATTTAATGCTCACATACTTACATGGTGTAGTTGACTATCTCTTTTAATTTGTTTTTCTATTCAAGTAGTATTGCGTCGCGATCAATAACAGATGTATTGTCATTATTAAAAGTCTACGCCATGAAACGGGCGAACAACACCACACATTCCTTTAACAAATGACATACGGACGTAACAGCCTGAAACACGTGTGTACTACTATGTACAACAAGGTTATATTGATTTATAAATGATAGACAAACTTCCTACGTTTTACATTTTCTCAGATGATTATAGAATGCTGCAAGAAATGTATACGATATAGCGATGAGTTTGAATACCTAACCAGGAAGTAGATAAGCGAGGTTTAATATCTCTTCTACGGTGGAATGTACGTTACACCAAGTTACTAGCAATACATTGCTCTATTAAATTGTTAACTTCTTTTTTACCGGAAGTAACACTATTGATCATTATATCAAAACCGATTAATAATTTTGACCCGTCTCGAAACGGACAGATGATTGCAAGATTATTAAAACAATATCCTTTTCATTCATTACAGGACAATAATTTCAATTAAGAAGTCGAATTGCATTACCAATGTTCTCAAGATGCAAGAAAAGGAATAGTCAATGATATTTATATTCATAACGCTTTTTCGAATATTGAAAGTACTAGGAATACTATTTTAATGATTTGAAACCACTGGCAGGGAACATTGAAAAGTGTAACGTTGCTATGCTATTCATAGTAAATGAGAGTGATTTGCAATCTATTGCAGCGACACAATATGGGTTAAGATGAAATACTATGTAATAAATGTATGGAGACAATTACCATTTCCCTGACAAATGATCCAACCTTAGCCATTCAGACAAAATGCTAGAACAATATTTGTTAATAATTCAGTT